ATGGCAAATGGGTACGCCAAGAACGCTACAGCGAGGATTGCGGGATCTTCGTGACGGCAAGATTCTTCGCCACCTTCTTACAACTGCCGATAAGGCGCCCTAAAACCCTGCCAAAGCGGTTACGCCCCTACCTACAAGAGGTAACCGACAGCGCTACGAAACTGCCGAAGAAGCAGTTTCTCACGATGATGGGGCGTATCTTGCTCGACAGAAAGAGGAGCAAGCTTCTAGGCGGTGAAGAAAACAGCACGGAAACGACGCGGGACGATGCGGACATCATAGGGATCTATTCCAACGTGTCCGAAGAGTTGCGCCGACGTCGGTTGGGATACATGTGGGTGGACCGCGCCATGGCAAATCAAGCGGACAGGGCTTCACGGTCTCTAACAGCGGATGGCTTGGCAGTGCGAGCGAAGCGCTGCAAATTCGGCCCCTCACAACCACACGACGTCGCGGATGCCATCATGCGCCTGGGATTCCCTGTTTTTGTGTTTGGCCGCAAACGTCAAGGAGACAAACGAGAGAGCTTACTCGCCTTGCCCGAAGAAGGAACGCAAGAAGCGAATTGCCTTCTCCATCCGGCGCTGTTCGTCCAGACAGGGTCCAGGTGTGGGTTACCACCGGCCGTCCAAGCCGGTAAGAGTCCGGAAAGCGGTGAACCGTTGCCAGAGCGGAACTTTATACTCGGCGCGAAGTTCGCGGGCTCCATCAGCCGAAAGAAGGGAGCCTCATCTGGATACTACGCCCCAACTCGCAACCCTAAGGAGGCAGTCATTGGGATTTATAGGCCAGCGGACGAAGAAAATTGGCCCACGTATACTGTTGCAGAGGCGGCCACGTACCGAAAAAGGAAAGGGCGGCAAGAGCGCCTACCCGAGACGGTGGTGGCCAGGCCAAAAACAGAACAAAGGATAACGGACCCGACCCGACCACACGAGCAACCGACTGCATCCCAAAAACGCAGTAAGAGGACACGCGAGACTGTGGAGGGGAGGTCGCCGAAACAGAGGGAACCCAGACGAGACGACACACGAACGAACGCGACACCACAGCAATCCCGAACAGACAGGCCCACGTCGCGCGTGCAGGAACGATCGTCCAGAACCGAAACAACTCGGCAAAGTGCAGAGGAAAAGGAAGCACTGGATGCGTTACGGGTCAACCGCCGGTTGGGTTTAAACGGAAGAGGCAAACGTCCGATGGGGTACGCTTGCCCACGGCACTGGATGATTTATCCAGACAAACCCCCGCACGTCAGCCAGTTGGCATGGGCAGCAGTAACTCAGGCGCAACGAGAAGGACATATTCGATGGTTGCGAGAGCTGCGGCAGATGCCAGAAGACCTGTTAACGCTCAGCCTCCCAGAGGCAGCGATAGAGCTGGTCCGCCGCGCGGCAGTGGCGCGAGGATGGAAGTGGACAACGATTTGCAAAGCGTTGGCACTTCATCAAAGGCGCCCTCCTCAACCTCCCGCTGTACACAAACCAACGGGAAAGCATAGACATCTCGAGGAACCCCAGCTGGCGAGGCCCAACGCAGGCAGCACACAGGTTCGAACGTCGTGCGCCCACCAACCCTCCGGCACCGGTGACATATGCCGAGATGCAAAAGGCACACAGGGTACTCGCGAGAGAGTGTCCACAGGCAGCCCTGTTTCTCATGATGATGTGGTGCAGCGCGGCGAGGGCAGGCGACATCGGATCCCTACATGCAGAAGATCTGCGCGTCGAACGGGTGACAGAGGAGAAGAACATGGCACGCCTGAGGATGACGATGCGGTACGGCAAAGGGGCCAGGTTTCGCGGGCCTTACCCGGTAGGGGCAATGATACCACGCGAGGAAGCGTCTGTTCTGCGGCGCCTCTTGTGTCAACGTCTGCCACATCAGAGGTTGTTCCAGGACGTCACGGCGATCCGGAACAGGGTGCGCCAGGCACTGCGGAGCGAGAACCCGCTCTCCGCCCTCCCGTCGATACGGAAAGGAGCAACACGACACCTGGCCGCGCATGGGGTGTCAGAGGAACACCTCATGCGCATGACGGGGCGCACGCGCATCGATACCTTGCGACGGTATCTGGGTTATGGCCTCCAAATGAAACGGGAGGCAGAACACGCACAGGACAACGCCGCCCGTGCCCTCCTCGAGCGGAGTTCCTAGGCAACAAGGCTCCTAACGCACGCGACCTCGGGCTCAATGATGCAAAGTTGTATGCGGAGATACCGCGAGCGGGAGGTAAGGAACTCCCCCCCCCCCCACCCCATGTGGTCGATGCCATCAGTGGGGCCGTGCAAGATACTGCTAATTGGCCGCTCCACTTGAAGGACACCACGCTCCTGAACATCGAGGCCGTCCGAGGACTGCCGACAGCGCGTACAGCCACCAAAGATTTCCTGGAGCGCGCGCTACGATTCATGACGGTCGACCTCTACGACGGGTTACGCACATCCCGAACCATCAAGAAGACACAGCTCTCGATGACGGACATAAAGAGAGCAGTCGAGATGGGTAAGTTTGAACGCGTCCCGAACGTTGTTAGCACTGGCTGTGTTTGCCCACTGGCGACAACCGCGCATCCACAGGCGGAGGGTAGGAACTCTATACCGATCGACCACAATGGCATCAGCATAACCGCGACAACACATACGACACCCGGCCATCGGGACGACTGTCACCAAGACCGTCGCTACGAGGGCCGTCTCCCGGAAGGTTTCCACGGAGTGAATGTGTTTGCGGTAGCCGAGATGAAGGGACGGCGACGCCTTATCACCGAGCCTCACCTCAACGGAGTGCTCTCGAAGGCGGAGATACCACGGTGTGAGTACCCTTCTCGACTTGCAAGGCGGCAGGAGCTGCGCTACGCACGTTACATGCTCCAGATCGATTTTGAGGCGTACTACGATTCCATTCCTTTGATGGATGAAGGGCTACGCAACAAGTTCGTATTTCGAGCACGCGATGGTGCACTCTACCGGCTTCGCACGTTGCCAACCGGGGCACGATGGAGCGTCGCTGTTGGACAGGCCGTGACGTGGACAATTGTCGACATTGACACGAGGTGTACCATCCTCACAATGATCGACAATATCCTGATTGCCGCGCCCGCTGGAGAGGAGACAGAGTTTGTAAGAACGGTGCGACAGATTATCGACCGGATTGAGGTGGCGAACCTCTGTACGTCTCCCAGTCGCGAAGAACTGCGATCGTGGTCAGACAGCGTCATGTTGAAGGAGGCGAAAAAGACGAATGTTTTCCTCGGTGAAGAGTTTACTTGGTTGGAGGGGGAACGCAGGGTGCGCAACTCCATCAAGACCGTGGCGAAACTGAAGCTGGGTCTGGTACAGCAACCGTACAGGAGTTTCACGTGCAGAGAATTTGCGTCAAACGTGTCACTCATTTTATATGCGTTACACACCACAAGGTTGAACCCAGCTTCAGCGTTTAATCTCTTGCGTGCGTATCGTGGAGTGTACCGCCAGGTGGAACGCGAACGAGGATGGGACGAACCCATACCGTACCTGGATCCTGGAGTCCGCAACACGATGATGACGTTGGCTGCACAACTGGTCCAGAACCCTTATTGGACCATTGCGGAAGAGGTGAATGCAACGTACAACGATGAAGATTATGACGTCATTTGCTTCACCGACGCGTCAGCAGATGGGTGGGGTGCGATAGTGATTACGGACCCACCGGCACCACCACGTCAAAACAACATAACAGAAGATACGTGGACACCACACGCCACCATTTACCAGCAGAGGTGGATCCATGATTTTAACCCGGGAGGAAACCCGCGACCGTCACCACAACCCGGACGCCGAGAAGAAGGGACGCGACAAGTTCTTCAGAGCAGTAGCGACACATTCAACGCACGCCACTCGGCACACGCGGAACCCCGGGCGATCCATCTCCTGTTACAACACCTCGAACGCCAGGGTGTGATTGTTCCAGGCGAATCTATCGCCCACGAAGAAAACGTTACCAACAAGGTAAATTTAAATGGCCCACGACGACGGCCAACACGAGTGGCGGTGGTGACCGACCACTTCCCCATCGCGCACGCGCAACGGCGGCTAAATGGATTTGGCGGCATCGGACGCGGCTATGCGCTGAACAGGCTCTTCGAATACACGAACAAGCTGTTCCACACAAAGGCGGTGCAGGTGGTCTTCTTTTACATCGCCGGACCCCGCAATCCGGCAGACCACTGCTCACGCAACTTTGGGGTAGACAGGGGAACCCCGTTAATTACTTCACATCCGGCGGACGACTGCCTCGTTCCGTTGTTGAGAACCACGTACGGTCCGATCTGCAAAGGACAAGATGAAGCACACGTGACCTTTGCAGGCGTGGGGGACGATATTGACGTGGAAGGCGATATTGACGTGGATGGTGAAGTTGAAGAACAATTAATGCCTCAATAAAGAAGGCATAAGGGCTAATCGCGCACTATGGGGAGCGTTCTTTCCAACCCCGAAAGCCAAAGTACAAGCCACAGAAAGCGAGAAATATCTTCTGTATTTCCCCGTTAATAATGTGTTGATGTACTGGCCTAATCGGCAAACGTTGTTTCTCAGTTTGACATGCCGTACCACTTGTGCAAACACGTTCTTCCTTTCCTCTTCTTCTCTTCTTCTCAGTAAAGCGGTATTCGGCGGTTCGCGAAAGCTGAAAAAAAAGAGGGAGAAACATCAGAAACAAGAAAAACATATTCCGCAACATCCCCATTAAATTTTTTTTTCCGAATCTGGGCGTTGGGCCCCTGAGTAATAAAAAATAAAAAACCGAAACTAGACCACCCATATCTCTTGATCGGCGCGTTTGCGGAAAGGACGTGGCCGTCGGGCGTCAAAAAGAAAAAAAAAAATAATAATATATGTGACAATACCCGACCCCAAATGAAAAGAATAAAAAACAAATTAAAAAAAATAGCAACAACAAGTAATTATGTTTTTTTTTTTTTCTTCTGTCCCTTGAATTGTGAAAAATGATAAAGTAAATTAATTTGCGCGTTTTTGAAGAACGGCGAAGGCCGGCCGGCCGTGGGAGCAAAGGGAATATTGCACGACGGCTTGAAGTCCTTCAACAAGTTTTTCTGCTTCCGCAAAAGAAACTTTGTCTCCAAACATAATAGCACCTCGGCAAGATCGGGTAATTAAAAACTGAAGAATTGGAGAAGGTACAATGTGACCTCCAGCGTTTTGTCCATCACAATCGCTGCCATTATGGGCACTTTTTGAATTCCCAATCACTTTTCGGGATGGGCTGAGGGTCGTAACGATCTCTTCCAAAGCCATACGAAGAAAATCAATGTTGTCCAAGAAAAGCTGGTGCCCTTCTACTACTAGATGAGGCCACTGCGTAATTGTAACACAATAATTATTTGCATTAGAATAAATGGGAAGTTTTTTTGATTTACACTCTATACCTTCAGTAATTTCTTTACTACCATGGGCAAAGCGCCATCCCCAGCGCATAAGTATCTCTTCGTAGTTTGTAACATCTTGACGAATATCAACAGGTATCTTGACAGGGAAAGTAACGGATGTAGAATCTTGCATCACATAAGACTCTGCAGTTGTGAGGAAGTATTCCAAGCGCAATCGTTCATGAATGGCATGCTGATCTGCAAGATAAAGTGTATGTGGAAGCCGCGATGAGGTTACAGGTAAAACAACAGACGAAGGAGATGAAACCTCAGATAGAGAATTATTATTATTATTATTATTCTCTTGCTTGCTTGCATTTTCCAAATATAAAAGGAAAAACTTTCTATCCCATTGTGTAATTAAGTGTTCTTTTCGAAACGGACAACATGTAGTACCCCCTATACGATTTAAAGAATCCAAACCTGTCCATACAAATGGTATTTCGTAACCTCTTATGGCAATATGAGAAGGTTTGAGTACCAGTTTCATTTTAGAACGTACCTGAGAAAGAGTACTTGTATTACATTTCTGTGTTATCCATTTTAATGGATAAAAAGGGGTTCGCTTTACGTGAGAGACGGAAACAACATGAGAACTTTTTTTACTCTTCACAGCGTCTGCAAGGGAGAGACGCCTCGCCAAGGAGGAGACGCGGAGAGAAGTTTTGGTGGGAGTACTATGATCCCCTAATGATTTAGTTGCCGTCCGCAATTCATCCACAACACGAATATTCTCTTTCGTATCTGTAAACGTTGTTTCTTTTAGAATACTTCTTGACTCATTATGATACCCTTGTTTTGCAGCCAGAAACAGCTTTCCCAAAATTGTATCACTGCCTTCTAGTAAAGTATTTGATACAAAGATGAGAAGTGGATACAGTGTGTTAGACAAAGATGAGATGTGACGATATACTCGATGTGATTCATCCACAACATGACAAGCCCCTGTAATTTTATTGACTGAAACGGCAAGAGGGTTTGTACAATTATAGGAACGGCCCAAACACTTATTTTCATTATGTGAATCCCATAAGGGACAAACAAAGACTACAGCAAAGGAATTTCGTTTAACTATAACTTCCCGAAGACGTAGAGATGTGGAATTCTTTATAGAACCCAACGATTTACCCAGTAAACGGAGATGGGGAAATAAGGATAATAAAACACGATATACAGTAGAAATCGAGAGTGAATCAATATCCTTTTGAATTTCTTTTTGATCTCTTTTAATTGGATAATGAACTTTACTTATCATTTCAGAATCATCTGAAGGAATTTGCACATGTAAAACATCAATAATATCGACAACCGCCTTTTTTTCATTTTTGTAATAATTATTATAATTATCACTTACCCGGAGATACAAAGAAGCACGACCATCTGCAGTTGAACTATTAGAAAGATACAATGGGGCTATTATAAATTCCACTGCCATCCTATATGATGATATCACAAGAGCTTGCCACTCAGCACGAAGTCGATAAGATGATTGTCCTTCTCCAGTAATACTACGTTGCCGAACAGGGATACAGAAAAAAAGGTTATGAACTTCGCAACGCAAGTTAATAAATAAAGGTAATTGCCGTTGTTGCCGTTGTCCTTCATGTGTTTTTTCTTCACACATTCGTTCTCTTATTTTGGTTGCAATCTTTTCATGTAGAGACGTTTTTGTACTTTCCATTTGAGCTAAATCTGTGTGCAACCACCGCTCTTTAAATAAGATATCTGAACGCTTTGGGAAAAGAGATATATAGTCCCCCTTGCTATCTATACGTTCCAAAGATGTTTCTACCGCAACACGCAAGCGTACTTCTTGACTAAGAACTGTTAAATCTGATAACCATTCCTCCATCTCAGTAAAAGAACGGTAATAGTCAACATTTTTATATAGATGAGATGATTGATATTCACTTGTAAGTTCTACTATAAAGTTTGAAGTCGTGGGTATCGCCAGCACTCTCACGGCACGAGTAATTTCTCCAATCACCAATGAACGAATAAACTGATACGTCCCTTCTACTGCAACTGTGAATGAGGGAATATGATGCGCTGCTCGGATCTTTTTTGTTTCTTCGCGCCTCATCGGCTGAATCGCAGCAACGCGGTCATTCCTAATTGCAGATGGAGTTGAAGAAACACTGACGTCTCCCATTGCCCCCTTTATTTCCCACATCTCATACAATCATATATATATATATATATATATATATATATATATTCTCATGCAATAAAAGAAGAAGGAAAGAAAAAAAAAAGATCTTAGTGTAGACAAAATTCACCAGGACAAATAATAATAATAATAATAATAATAATAATAATAATAAAACAAAAGAAAGAAATGTCAAAAAAAGGGATTTCCAAATAACAGAAAAAAAGGTATTGAAACTTACGGCATAAGTTAACAGAATAATAATAATAATAATAATAATAATAATAAGCAAGAAAAAAAAAAAAGGGTGATAGCAGAGATGGAAGTCATTCTTCTTCAACATCTGAAGACTCTTGCTTGTTGACTTGTTTATATATTATTTCTTTCCCCTCTTCTGTAGAAGTTGTATGTACAACTTCTGCATGCACACAACACATGGATAAGAAGTTCTTACATTTTTGAGCTTAGAATGAATAATAATAGTAGCACAAGCAAAACAAGAAGAAGCGGATAAACAAAAAAAAAGAAGAAAAAGAAGAACACATATAAACACACACACAGAAAAGAATTTTCAAGCTTCACTCATATAAAGAGAGAAGAATTACACGGGCTAAGAGTGAACGGTGCAAGTTTAATATTTCCAAACAAAAACAGAAAAAAAAAAAACAACAATAACAACAGACAGAAACACAGAAGTATATATATATATATAGATATAGATATATATATTTATATATAAATATATATATAAATATAAAACACAGTTTTTCTGCATAGAGGGGGATACATCCACAGTACGAGAATAATGAGAAAATAATATTAATAATATCAAAAAAAAAGAAAAAAGAAATCCATCATGCCGCTTATCCATTTTCACCCCACATCTCAGAATATCTCCCCATTCACCAGACTACTTTTCTCTTCTCTCCCCCTTTTACCTTACATTTTCCAATATCATGCATGCATTCCTCACATCACAGTAAATAAATTCCTTTCCCTAACAAGCCCCTTTTTCTCTTCCTCCTCCTCCGCCACCACCAACAACAAAACAACAACACCAACAACTACCATTTTACCTTCACACAATACGAGATCCATTTCTTTTTTTTTTTTAATAATCTTCAAACGACATAATAGATACCTGAACACGTTCAAAGGGGTCAATGAATGTAGCTGTATAAGAACGGGGAATATCACTTTCACCACCTCCCACACTTTCTTGTGGAGGCCAAGAAATCGCAGAAACCCGCAGTGGCGTCTCTGAAGTGGTATTACCACCTCCCATTTCATCTCCTGTTGTAAAGCAACGAAGAGGACGAATGGCAAGTCGTACATTCAATCGCATTGAGATTTGTGATCTATCGGAAAACGTCACCTCAGGAGTTTGATGTAAGAGTTCTTTTTCAGCCGTTTCCAATATATCAGTTGCATTTCGTGTGAGAGTATGATGGCGAAGAAAATACAATCCACTACAACGTGTCATGGAGGGCATTTTATCATATCCACCCATACCGACTCCTCCACCTTTGAAAAATGTGGCGAGATATGGATGACAACAGGCTTCATCCGGTGTTAAACGCTCTGACGGATCCCATGATAAACAACCAAGCAAAAAGTCTAACATGATTAGTGGTGAGTATTTTTCATCTCCTCCTTGATGATCAATTGTTGTTTTAGTTGATTTTACTGTGGGTATGGAAGAGTAAACCTCATCAACTTCCTCTTTTTTATTCTTTTCGGCTTCTACCTTCTCTTCCGGTGGATGACAAGTTTTATCCTTATTTACCTTAATATGAAGGAGTTGTAACAAATTTGTGCCTTCTGCGATTGAGTGCTTTCTTCCTGTATCTGTTTGCAAGGATGCGAAAAATGCCTGTCTCTGTGATGTATCCTTTTCATCGTTAACATTATTAAGCCCAACAAAAAGATTTTCCAAAGCTCGTTGTGACTCTATGGAGGGTGGTCCCAACACGGCGAGATGTGATTGCAGGAGTTCCATATCCGATTTCGCTTGAAAGAGTGGAAGACCTGTACTGAGTTCATACACCACACAACCAAGAGACCACATATCAATAGTGGGACCATAAGAAAGACGTAAAGCGGCTTCTGGGGCACGGTAATTAAGTGTTTGTACAGGATGTGCACAGGATGTACCTACACGGGCACTACCAAAGTCTATCATTAAAATATGTGAAGTGACTATATCATCATCATTATTATTATCATTATCACCATCATTAACAACATCAACACCTGCTTCATTCCGTTTCTTCATTTCACCACTATCCATATCCACATCCAAATCCAAATAATGATCCGTATTACTAAAGTTAGACTCCGACTCATTTTTTAGTCCTTGTAAATGATTAATACAAGATGATGTCTCGGATATGGAAGTTACATGATGGTGGTGATCACAGTTAGAAGATAAATTGGTTGTTTCAGCACAACTTTGCTTTATTTCTTTTTCCTCTCGTAGTTGTTGCTCTATACTATGAGGAATAACCTTATCATACAAACTTCTATTTATAAGGACAACGTTATCTGGTTTAACATCTGCATGGGTGACATTAACTGTAGAGAGTGCTTGAAGTGCCGCTATCATTTGAGCTGTTATAGCACGAACAAGTTTAGATGGAAGTGGACGGAATAAATTTACGCAAAGAAGTTTCTTAAGATCAAGTCCATAAAGAGGAAGCACTAAAATTTCATGTGAACGGAATGTAAATCGTGATAATACCTGTGGAACCCACATTCCCACCTGTTGCCTAGCATGCCGTAAATATTCTAAAATATCAGCTTCTACCGCCAAAGCAGTTGCATAGGAAGGAATTTTTTTCGCTATTTTCAATGCACACTGTTGCGGTGTTGGTTTCGCTGCGTGATCAAGGGCACGGACAACAATTCCATATGTGCCGTGGCCAAGAACATCCAACATTTCATAACGGTACGCCATATGATCTCCACAGGTGAATCGGTAGTTGTGTTCATCATCATCATGAATGCTTTGACGACTACACTGCTGCTGCTGTTGTTGTTGTTGTTGCTGTTGTTGAATATAATTACCAGAATAATCACCGAGAGTCTTAGATGATAAAGAAGGTTTATGAGCGTGCAACCCACAATAGTAGATTTCACGAAATTCCAAGATCTCTTTTTGTTCATAAGCACTTAAATGACTACTGCATCGTTTTAGAGCTTCTTCTGGTGTAATAGGCAGTTCATTCCGTTGGCATGTTAAAAGCATACAAGACGAGGGGAATCCTTTTGTATTTATTGTAAACCCAGAAATTTCAGTATCCGTTTCTACACTAGATTTCTTACTGATTGTACATGTTGTTGGATGAGGGGCCTGTGATAATAGCACTTCACATTCTTCAGAGAATTGACTCTCCGTTGTCTGGTATTCTTTTCCTATAGAGTCTCTCAATACATCACCACCACTCATTTGCGCCGCCTCTGAAAGCCTACAGAATGTATTTAAAGGATGTCTTTCTGCATTCCATGTTTGTAGCGGCAAACCAGAGCCAGATGAAAGATTACGAAACGACGTGTAAAACCATGAACTGTTATTTCTCGTACCAACACCACTACTACTATCATTACTATTATTATTATTATTACCACTAGTAGTATTAGTAATAACCGTAGTATTAGTAGTATTCGTATTCGTATTACTATTTGCTGTGGTAGGTATCACTTCAGTAGATGGAGTTACCGTCACTGAGGTTTCACCATGACTGGAGAGCAGACATGAGAGTGAATCTGGAGTTCCCAACTCCCATCGTGACTTACCAGATGCGGTATTTCCTCCACTCTCGCGAGAGGTCAATGCTGTTAACACAGGGGTCCACTCGGTATGGCAACATCTAGCGGATGTGTTGGTGGATTCCTCTGTGTCTGTGGGTCTCTTTGAGGAGCCACGGCCGACCGTGTCATCCATCACGTTGTCCATGCGGCGTGTGAGGATAATGATAATGATAATGATAATGATGATGATTGCGACTATCTGCCCGTACAACTGAGAGTAATAATAATAATAACAAAAAGAAAAAGAAAAAAAGGAAGTATAGTTAGAGAGAAAAAAACGTGTATGATTATATATATATATATATATATAGATTAGGATAAGAAGGAGAATAACAGCGAAAACAACTGTAAATAAGGAAAAGAATGAAATCAAGTAAAAAAAAAAAAAAACATATTTATAATAGCAGAGAGCGCACCCTTTTAGAGAATTTCACTCATCCAAAGGAGTTAAAGTTTAAGTATTGTACAGTACAGTTGTTATTCTTTTTTTTTTTCTTTGCTCTTTCCTTCTTTCTTTCCCAGACTATGGAGATGGTGAAACCGGAGTTCGGAAAAGAATAAAAAAAAAAAATAATCAGCAACAATTATCAGAATCAACTTGTATAAGAAAGAGCCACTGGAAGCAACATCTAAAAATAAGAACAAAAACAAATATACAGATATTCACACCCACTCAGAAAGAAATAAACAGAAAACCTATTATGCCGCCAAGACATTCACAAGATCTCTAACAAAAGTTTTTTCACACGTCAACCCTCTTCTCAAGATATTCTGTACCACATACAGTAAAAACAATGGACCACAGGCCAATAACAACCCTTGCAAAAACGTTATTTGCACTCCCATCACCCGCATATCATCCACTGTTATAATATCAATAATAGTTAAAAGAAGTACAAAAGGAGTTGATAAATAGAAAATAATTCGCTTTGGATCACGTCTAGTTGCATAAGAACCATACCTCACATGAAGATCATGTCGATAATCAAAATCACTAAGATAACGGGATGGAAAAGCGTAATAAGGTCGCGTACAGGAGACCCATCGAACACCCAGTCGACGGAGACGAGAACCACTACTCTCATTGGCAGAATAAACTTGCTTCTCCCTCTGCCCCATCTGATGATGATCATGATCATAATAATAATGATAATGATCATTATCATTATAAGGACGATGCTGATGAGGATGACGACGGTTAAGATTAGAGAAAGTTGAATCCCGTGACTCAAACGTTGTCATCGCATCACGCATGATCTCTCTCTGGAAGTTACTTTCCTGGACAGACGACCAGCGTTTCATTTCCAGAGATAAACACCAATCGCTGTTTGTAATAACAACATATAGAGCAAGAAATATGACAAAGAAAATACCAAAAGAAGAAATGGCAAGATAAACACAACCCATAGCTCTTCTAGGATTTTGTACTACTTGCAATTGTTTTTCCCACTCCTGAAAAGAGGAAGAGGAAGAGGAAGAGGAAGAAGAAGAAGAGGATACATTTTCATTGATTTGTACAATAATAAACTTTGGACCATAATAGTATCGAATCGTTCCCATGTAATTAAAAATATATAATGTGAAAATTCCCAGAATCACTTGTAGTGCAGTGAAGATATGCAGGAATACGTAGCTAGAATAGAAACGAAATGTAGAGGGAAATGTATCCTGTACTGTGCTAACAGCCGCATGTTTGAAACGGAACTGTGGTGTGTGTGGATTTTCGGGAAGAAATGGAAGTGCATCAATGGCGGCATCAGCCTCGCAGGCCTCTAGGCGGAATAGGGTATCCCACATCACAGACTTTTACTTTTAGTTTTCTCCTTTTTTAATTTCCGCCCCTACCAATAATAAGTCAGTTTAAAAGAAAGTAAAAAGAGAAAGAAATAAAAATAATTAGGACAGACACACACACACACACAGAGAAAAAAAAAAAAAGAGAGAGAGAGAGACCAGAACAACGAAGTATTGTGTACATCAGTATAATCTGTATTTCTCTACTTCTTTAACTTTATGAAAAAAATTAACCTCATGTGAAGAAAAACAATCAAACAAGCAAAAAATAAATAAATAAATAACACCACCAAACACCCTTTTCAATGCACTCCATATCTCTATATTCATAACTTCCCTCCTCACACTTTCATAATGTTTAATTCATGACTGTACCACACCGCGACGTTTTTGGCGTCGCTCGTTATCTTGCAGTTGTATATCATCAAAGTGTGTTGCTGCCACAGAAGCGGCTGAGGGCCCCACAACATCAGTCTCACGTATATGTGAGGTGGAAACCAATCCTTCATCACATATACTTTCTCTTTCTCTTTCTTTTTCTTCTTCTTCTTGTGATCCATCTTTTTCCCGTGCCTCACGTTGTTGCCGTCGTTCCCTGGCTACAGAAAGTTTTCTCTTTAACTTTTCTGCCTCGTACTCTGCCTCTTCCACTCTGTCAAAGAGACCAACTTGTTTTAGCATACGATGTAGCCGTACATTGCACTCATAGTCTAGTGCCTTCTTTTGTGTTTGCCACATTTCTCTCCTTTCCTCTGCATCTACACCAGTAAATGCTAGTCGATACTCATGTGCTTCCGCTGTGCTTGATGCCCCATATGAACCGTGAGAAGGTGGGTAATCCTCAATGGAGAGTAATGCCCGCATGGGTGCGGTATGATTAACAAGTACACTCTTACATCCACTCACTACACTAATACCTAACCACACAGGAGCAATATGTGGAGGAATAAATGAGACAAAACCAGTAAAAATCTGTGTAAACATAACCAAAGCTACGAAGCCACTCCACACAATAGTACTACAACGACTTGCTTGCTGTATCCATTCATCCAATCCATCACTAAAACCAGTTCGACGTTTTAAATATTCATGAACGTTAAATAATGTAATGGTTGCCGCAACCACAAGGGTTGGGTCAAATGATAAACCCAAAACTTGAAATGTGAGAGGTGTCACTGTATTAACAGCAGCTGCAGTATTACCAACACTACCAACAGAAAGGAAATCGCCAATTTGCTGGGCTGGACTGCATAAAGTATACCAGGCCCATAGAAGTGCTGCACCATGGGGAACTACCAGACGCACATTATCAGTATGATAATTTCGAAAAATACGATCTCGGTCATTTTTCAACTTTTGAGCGGCAACCTTCTTTTCCCAAATAATAGCACGGGGATGATCAACAATTGCTCTGTACTGCTGATAGGCTTCCTGTAGTTCCGGAAGTGCACACGCTGCCCTTGAGACACACCGATCGCCATAAATAGTTGCTGGAAGAGACATTAGACGAAATACCACACCACCAATGAATAGTACACCAAAAGGATCACATACACTAAAACTATTCGAAGTTAAAAGAACTAAATTAGCTAGGGCAGTTGATATCGTTCCAATACGATGAATTGGCGTGACCCGCAGCATGGGGGCCAAATGAAAATCTAGATATGTATAAAAAAATATTAAAAATACTTTCCCCCTACAAGTAAACACCCAAAGTACAACAACGACAAAGAAGAAAAAAAAAATCAAAAAACAAAAAAAGAAACATACACTCTCAACAATAACGAACAGTTTCCTGATGCAACAAAACGGTGAGAAACACCACAACGAAAAAAAAAACTCACGACCTCATAAAAAAAAGGAGAATACAGTGGTATATCAGTGTACGAATCGATAAGGTGTTATTTTTCACGTGGGTAGGGTTTTCTCACCCTCGCATCCAAAGGTGTCCTAAGCTTGTGTCTCATCACAAGAGCAGCAATACAAACAG